CAGGATCTGAGGTCTCGCAGTCTGAGTGAACCAAGGCGCAAAAAGGCGAGAATGTTTGGACTGAGGCTGTCACAACACATCCAAGAAGACAGCATCCCAACAGCACATGATTCATGGTGTTGCCCTTTTTGCTCAGCCTGCCAGGAAGCTCAGAGCTAAAATTAAGGATCTTGTACAGTAGCTAGTGTTGGCCAACAGATTTTGGAATATTTTCTCTTCTTCATGTTCTTTAAAATTTCATTTCTGTTATAATGAGCAAATCAATTGTGCTTTTTATTTTAATCCTCCTCAAATTTTCTGAGAATAAATTAAAAAGGCACGAGTTACAACAGCCACAGCCTTTCTCCAATCTGCTCTTTCTTCTTTGGCGGGAGGGGATCAGCCAGCCCAGCTCAGTGGGGGTGTTGAGGGCCACCCCCCCTCCATCCCGTGGTAGCCTGCCCTCCCTGAGGCCCAGCCCTGTGCCCTTCCAGCGGGAGGGGTAGCAGTGGTTTCCAGAGAAGGCGGGGATGCATGTTGAGAGATGGGGAGCTCCCAGAAGGAGATCGAGCAGCCCTCCTGGGGGGTCCCAAGAGCCTCCTGGAAGGGTGGACTGGGCTGAGGAGACTTGAAGCTCTCTTGGGGCCTCAGTTTCCCGCATCTCTGCACTCAGCCTGTGACAGGGCAGAGGGAAGCTCCCCACAGCAGCCCCACCTCTGGGCCAGGCACTCCATCCCGGATGGGGCGCTGAGTTGGAGGCTTTGTTTGGGGGCTCCCCCTGCCCTGCGTGCCAGGCCCAGTGCTGGCCTTGATGGGCACCCATCGGGTACCAAGACATCCGCTGCCTACCAGGAGTGCTGTGGATAGCAGGTGGGATGTGGATTCACATCCACACAGGAACGTCCCCACTGCACACCTCACTGCCACGTCCTCAGCATCAGCCCAGGCCCAGCAGCAGGAGGTGAGGAGGTGTGGATGCCGGCCGGCTGCTGACAGCCTGCCACGATCCCTGTGCTCGGGCACACTGCAGCCGCTCCCCTCCCACGGCATCCCCTTCTCGCTCACCGCACAGGCCCCAGCAAGCTGGGCCGCCCAGCTCTGAGTCACCAACGGGCTGGGCCGGTCAGCCCCCCGACTCTTGCCTCGCCCTCAGCCTCCCACACTCACCTTCACTCAGGACCCGGGGGGTGTGGGCCTTGGGAGACGGGGTGGGTGTGGGGGGAGTGGACAGGGAGACGTGAACACTGAAGGGGCATCAGGCAGTGTGGAAGTCCCTTGCAGGCAGGGCTGGCCAACCCAGGGACCCCTCCACCACCACTGGCCCTCAGCAGGCTCTCCACCCCCTTTACACCTTGCTCACCTGTCCAGGGGGCCCAAGGAGGTCCCATCTCAGCAGAGCGCCAGGAAGACAGAGCCAGGTAACACTGCAAAGGGTCTTGGGGGAGATGCTCCATCAAGGGGGCTCTGAGCAAATAGTGGCTACTAATGGCTAATTGATAGAAAGCGTTGCCAAAATTGGAAACAGTGCAGAAGGTATCATGAACAACAGGCCTCGCCCCGATGTCAAGGGAAGGCCTGTGAAACAACACCATGCTCCATTCCAGTTGACCATGTTGCCTTGGAAACAATAATTGTGAACAATAAAATCATTTGTCAATAACAATAACAATGCCTTCAAGCAATGCCCTCCCCTGGTGGTGGGGGTGGGCAAAGTGGGCAACAACTCCTTGGGTGTTAGTAACGGGCAGTGCTCGGACCCTTTGGAAGGAATTTGGCAGAATCAGCCAAGAGCCATGAAAATGCTCCTGACCTTTGACCTAAATGCCACCAGACAGTGCCCCTGGACCACTTCAGACTGTGGGCGGCACCAAAGGAACCAGCCACCATGGGGTATATGGAGGACAGAGTGGGGGTCCCCAAAAGACAGGTCCACATCCTGACCCTCAGAACCTGGGAAAGTGAACTTATTTGGAAAAAGGGTTTTTGTGGCTATCATTAAGTTAAGCTCCTGAGACAGGAGATCATCTGGCATTATCAGGGTTGGCCTGACATCCAATGACAAGTGTCTTTATAAGAGACAGGAAGTGGAGATGGCTGAGTGACTATGGAGGCAGAGATTGGAGAGATGTGGCCACAAGCCAAGGAACCCCTGGAGCCACCAGAGGCAGGAAGAGGCAGGAAGAACTTTCCCCTAGAGCCTCCAGAGGGAGCACGGCCCTGCTGACACCTTGATCTCAGAATTCTGGCCTCCAGACTGTGAGCGAGTTTGTCGTAATCGTTATAGCAGCCCTAGGAAAAGAATACAGGGTGTGAAGTACCCCGGGGGTCACCCCAGGCCTGTTACTGGAGGAAGAGAGAGGCTTATCCCCTGCCCTGCAGGCCTGAGAGGGAACAGGACACAAGTGGACAAACCCACACAGAAGCTGGAAAGCAAGGGAGCCTGCGATGTCGTGTGTGGGGTCAGGCTTGTGGGGATGGAGGGGAGAAGGAGTGGGGGGCACGTAAGGAACAGCTAGAACAGGCCCACGATCCCCCATGGGCACTTCTGCCAAGGAGGCAGACCTGAGGGCCATGAAGCAGAAAGCTGCTTGCACAAAGATGGATGGACGCTCATCTCTGAGAGACCAGCACACGCAGGACACCCTTCTTAGGGGGTCCAGGCAGGGGCTGTGGGCACCGTCCTGGGAGAGGACCCACAGCAGACGATGCAGAGCCCTTCTTGGGCCTCAGAAGGGTCCCATGGGAGACCATCCCTCAGGTGGCCCCTCCTCCCTGCCCCACCACAGGCTATATCTTGCCACAAAGGAATCTGGAGGGCAAACCCGACCCAGGCCCCCAGAGGAAGGGGGCCAAGAGGGACAGCAGTCCACACCCATCGGCATATTAAGTAACTGATTAGTTAAGTGACTGGTTAATAGATTAGAGCAGAATGTGCCACTGTGGCCCCTGGGATGATACCCCAGGAGAGGACCTAGGTGGGGGTGGCCTTGGAGGGGTCTGGACAGCCCACTGGGGTTCAGCAGGCCCCTGGCCAGTCTGGGGGACACAGGCTTGACCAGAGCAGGCACCAAGGGCAGCATATGGCAGAGGTGCTGATCTGCCAGGTGGGCACAGAGGCTAGGAGTGAGGGCTACCTGGGGGTGGGGTCCTTCTAGGGCCCTCCAGTCTGGCCTCAGAGGCTGGAGTGTCTCCAGGCTGGCCTCTCGCACGGCTGCTGCGCCTGGAGCTGCGGGGTGGCTTGAGCAGCCAGTCACAGAGAGGCTTTCATTGCCCATTTCCTGAGGAGCAAACCAAGTCCCAAAAGCCACAAGCCAGGTGGGCCAGAGGCCCTCGGCTGGGGCAGCCCCGAGCCTTGCCCAGGTGTCACTCTCTCCCGTCTCTGGCTCCTGTGGGCTCCCAGCCCCCCTGGGCTTGTGTGGAAGTGGGAGAAGAGCCCTCTTCCTTGTGAAGGTGTGCACAGAGGCCAGTCACACTGAGTCCTCCCTAGCTTGAATCTGTCCCACGCTGCAGTGCACCAGGACCTGGCACACCTCCGGCCAGCTCAGGCTCCCACCTTGTCCTTCCTCAGAGCCCTAAGGTTGGCCTCCCCTAGCTGGGGCCCCAGCCCCTGCTCTCCATTCTGATGCGTGGCAAGCACCCAATCCCCAAACTTATTTCCTCTTACGGGAGCAGGAGTAATAACCCCCCTGGCAGAGAACTCAAGCAGCTTAGCTACATGTGTGCCACAGGTGCTTAATAAATGCAGCAGTGAGCCCACAGCTTCTGGGGTGCAGTCCCCTTGCATTCCAGCCCCAGGCAAACAGGCCGACCTGTCCTTCACCCCCAGGCCTTTGCATATACAGTTCCCCCGACCCGACCCGGGTGCCGTCCTGCGCTCTTCCACCTGAGATGGGCTGCCCACACCTCAGGGTTCAGCTGGAGCAGGTACTTCTCCGTGAAGCCTCTCTGACATGCTTCTCTCACCAAGACCACCCCTCTCCATGCCCCGGGGTTCCCCAGCCTGAGCCCCTGACCCACGGCGGGTGGTAACCTGGACTGCGCGCTGTGCAAATAGAGGCCTGCTTTCGGCCTCTCTGTGCGCCTGCCCAGCGCGGGGCCGCCCTCTGCGCGCGGCCCAGCGGTGCGACAGGGGCCCTCGTCCGCCCAGCTCGGGCTCCCACGCCCTCCGAGACCGCCCGGCGCCCCCGCCCGGCCCCGCCCCCTCTAATCCCCTCCGCGGGCGGGGGCAAGGAGAGTCGCGGCCCCGCCTCC